CGATAGGCTCACGGCGATGTGATGGTTGGCAAGCCCCCCCCCCCCCTGCCCCACATTTTCCCTGTCGACTGGGAGGTTCGGCGCCGAGGAAAGAAAGGCGGGCGGGCGCGCGCACACATACTACATACAGCATCTGCCCCAAACGCGTGGCCGTCTTTTGTTGGCGGCTGCAGATGCCCATCTTGGCATTGCCATGGCAGGGCGGCCGGCAAAGATAAAGTAGGAAGGCAGGCATCCAGCTCACCGGCCACGTCCAGCCAAGCCGGCCAGCAGACGCCGCACACAACGGCAGGGGAGCTCGAAACATGGGCCCGTGGTTTGCTGACGAGAAGTGACGGCCCCGGAGTGCAGGCAGGGGTGGGGGGGACAACTTCCCTCCCCTGAGGTAACAGTTCCAACCGCCTCCCATGTCCATATCGTCCGCCCCACACACGCACGTCCAATATCCGTTGTCCGGTGGGTTTTTATATCCGTTCGTATTAGGGAGGGAGTACGATGGTCCTCTCCTCTCATAGAGGATCCCCTCATATGAGGTGGCTGCCGGGAAACAGACCTTGGGGATGCTGAGAATATTGACATTTTGGTACTCTTCCCCCCTCCCCCCTCTCGCCCATCTCTGAAATTCATGCACACCTGTGCACTGGCAGAGATCAACGCTCGGCCCCTTGGCCTCCTACCAGCCATGCGTCCAGGCAGGGCCGGGGTGGAGGCGTGTGGTAGGGACCTGGCAATCCAACTCGGTGGCGCCCCTCCCCCCTCCCCCTCCCCAGAGCAGATCCCATGTCCGCGCGCGCGCGTGTGCGCTTCGGAGAAACAACAGAAACAACAGAAACAACGAAACCAAGCAGGGCGCGACCGACTCGCAGACGTCGGGGACGGGAGACATGGTCCGGGCGGGTGGCTCGGCTGGGCGCTGGCTGACAAAGCGGACGGATGGACCTCGGCACGCTATTGATAGCTGGGCAGGGGGGAGTAGTAATAGTATAGTAATAGCAAGCCACAAATATATGGGCAAGCGTCTGTCTCCGTCTCCGATTATCCGGCGACAGGCCCTTTGAGCGCACGGGGGATATGCAAAGTCCTACATATACGCACATACGAACGCATATGATGAGGGATGTCAACCTAGCTACTTACACCTAGGTAATATTTACTCCGAGTGGGGCGGCAAAGCCTAGACACGAGGGCAGGCGGGCCGGCAAGGGGGTGTGTATGGGATGAGTGTGGGTGTGTGTGTGATAGGTAATATTTCTTGGGACTGGCCGTCACGCAAGAGCTGCAGCACCCCAAAATACACACAGGGACTATAAGCAAGGGTTGGCCGGCTATCTCAGCTGGGCTACCCCGAAGTAGTTGCCGTTCTGGATTCAACACCCACCACCCGCCGACCTTGATCACATCGCGGGCGCGTAGGAATTGTTGAAGCGTCGACAAAGATTACAAACAGGGTCACAGCCCGTGCCGCTCTCGGCACCACACCCAGCCCACCGGCCGGGCAGGACAAGGGATGCGGAGCAGGAAGAGGAGGGGAGGGGAGGGGAGGGGAGGGGGTGATGGGTGACGGCTGCGTCTCGCTTCCCCTGCAGAGAAGGCCTCACACCCCTCCCTCCCTCTCCCCCATGTAAATGTGCTGGTGCTGGTGCTGACCCTCTCTCCCTCTCTCCATTGCGGCACGGCCTGGTACTTTTAGTCGTCCCGCTTGCAACCCGCCCTCGCTTTTGTGTCTTCGTTTCTACTCGACGTCAAGACTTGGCGGCGGCCCCGGCAGGCGCCGCGGGAGGGCGGGTCGCCGCAGCTCTTCATGTAGAGATTTCCCTAGCTCCCAGAGATGGACAGGGGCAGCTGGGCGGGGAGGGGCCTGTCTGCCTGCCTGCCGCCGGGAGGAGCAGTTGCTGTTGAGGACACCAGACTTTGATGTGACTGAAACTTGATGTGACTGACACGCGCGTGCCTTTTGGGATTTGTCCCGGGTGCCTGGGACGCTTCTGGGCCAGCAGGCGACGTGGCATTGTTGTCGCACACAACAAGCACAAACACACATCAGCCCTTCATCCTCCCCCATGTCAGGCAACATTCAGGGCAGGGGGATGTCTCTGGCACGACGAGAAGAGAAAAAAGAGTCAGGAAGCTCGCAAATAAAACGGGGGCATTATAAATGGGGCATTATGCGCACACGCCCCCACAGGCCTACCCGTTGTAGCCCACAGCGGGCAGCCAACAGTCGACCTGCAGAAGGGGGCCTGTGCGGATCTGGCTGAAATCGAAGTTGCAGCAGGGGAACCACAAAATCGGACCGCGCAGCCTGCGTACCTGCCAACCTGGCCTTGCTTCCCTGCCGCTGGAGTGGGGGCCCGTCAGGGGGCCCATCAATGGGTCGTGTGGGTGCGTGCGCCAACTGCTGGTGGACTTGGCTTGATTTATTGGCATGTTTATTTTTTTCTTTTTCTTTTTTCTTTGTCTCTGCTTCTCTGTCTTGTTGTGCGGGAACGGGATTGTGAGGAAACAAGTACCAAGCCCACTTGACTTTACCCCAAATATAGAAATACAAATCACAGACAAAGACCCCCCTTACGTATAGTACCCACCCCTCCAGCCAAGGGTGACGTCCACTTCTCCATTGACAGCGGGCTCAAATCTCGCTGCATCTCAAATCTCGCTGCATCTCAAAGGGAGAAATTCAAAGGGAGAAATATCATCCTAACCAGTAGCACATGTCCGTGCGCCCGCCTCGGCTTGAGCCTCGTGCCGCTATGTACCTACCTGCTCACGTGCTGCCAACCAGGTACATAGGGAGAGGTACCTAGGGAGAAGTACCCATGTTGCCTACCTACAGCACTAGGCCTTGGTCGTGACCATTCTCGTTGCATGGCGGTTTGGCCGCGACGGCCTCAGGAGCTATCCGGCTGCGTCGAATATATACTGGATTTTTTTTTTCTTCTTCTTCTTCTTCTTCTTCTTCTTCTTCTTCTTCTGTTGTCAACATGCCCACCTCGCCCACACCCGTCCCACGTCCCACGTCCCACGATGCAACAAGAAACCGCTTATCATCATAGAGTTCTCTACTGTAGACGGGCAGTCGCTCTTCCGAGTTGCGGAAAAGAGGTATTCTAGCCGTGCTAAACTAGCGAGGCTGACATCTAACTTTGGCCCCCGGGCTTCGCTAGTCGAGACCCGCCTTTAGTGGGTGCGGGGGAGCCGGGGCTTCTAGCACAGAGTTTGGGTCTTCGTTGTGGCACGAGACCCATGTCATGGCCATGACATGGCCATGACGCCGAAGCCACAATCCCTCCACTAGGACGGCAGGGCCTCCTCGTCCTCGCCATGCCCGCATCTTGCCTTGATCGCTCGGCCTTCTTAGTTCGCATATCGGCCCGGGTGGCGGGCCGCGGCCCTTGGACGGCTCGCTTCGAAGCGGCGGCCTAGACAAAGTTCCAGCATCCGCCAAAACCTCTAGGACGGGACGGTCGATATCTGGCAGCAAGGCCGGCAGCAAAGTCGGCAACCAGGCAATCTTGGGCCGCCAATCCTCTTCCCCAAAGCCGCCTCACCATCTGCTGCCCTATAAGGTTCAGCATGTGCGTTCCGATTTGGGCTTTCTCTCCTGTGCCCTCTGAAGTTGTAGTCCTCCTGACTGCTGGTTGATGCTGGTCCCGTCTGTCGAGCACCTCTCGAGCACCTCAGACGCAGAGCCGGGGCCAGGTCGGACACTCTTGATCGGCCAAGAGGCTGCCATGTCTCCGTTACAAAACCCCCTCATCCCGCGGCTTGCCCCCAGGGCAGCCCTGAGCTCGTCAGCGGCTGTACACGAATCCGAAGTCACGAGCTTGTGTATGGTGATTGTATCGGCACTATCGATCCTTGGCGCAGCATTCATAACCGCGAGCTTCTTGGTACGAACTCATGTCCATACTCGAAATGATGGACTGAGGAGTCTCAGCGTGCTAATCTCTATCGCCCTTTCTTGGCGTACAGTTCCTCCCAAATTTCAGATCTTTCCGCCATCAACTTATTTTGTAAGCCAAATCATGACGCCAGCTGTTATTCTATCCGAGCCGACGCGGAGATCAAAGTCTGACATACTTTTCAGTGGCCTGGGTGTTGTTGATCTCCTGAGGGCAGTCAACACCTTGATGTCGTCCTCGTTAGACCTGGCACACAATGAACTGGACGCTCCGGGGCAGATGGTGTTCTGCGCCGTCAATGGCTTTGCCAACGAGGTTTTTGTTGTACAGCAGGACTATTGGGTTCTCCTGATCGCAATATACACATATATCATCCTGACCGACATCCCACACGCCAGCGCCTGGATCCAGAGTCACCAAGTAGCCATCATGTCCTTGCCATGGCTATTGTCCCTCGTATGGGCCTGGATCGGGCTCAGGTGAGCGGAGGCTATCAGAGCATTGGCAGCAGTGAGTCCGCGGTCTTTCCTCTACACCATCTTGCGCGCTTGTGGCTAGGCTAACCTCCAGACGGCACCTCACCTTGCTTCGCTTAGTATGCTGGTTTGCCGACGACAAGTCCAGGCTTTTGGTGAATTTCATTCCACGATGGATCATCATCTCGGTCATCCTAGGTCTCTATCTTCGAATATATTTCTTCTTGAGCCGCTCCGCGCGCTTGGCTGGGGGACGATCCGAGGATTGCTGCAGCGGTGGCGACCACAAGCCGGCACGCCACAGCTTCTCCAGGGGGCATGGCCAATGCACAAGGGGGGACCAATGCACAAAGGGTCACACGAAGCTGAAGAAGACGGCTCGCATGATGATGCAGTATCCCTTCGTGTACGCGCTCGTGTGGGTGGTCCCCACGGCTACCCGCATCTATCATGCCGCAACCGGTCGACAGGCGCCTCTCGCTCTTCGCACAGTCGACCTGGTAAGCTCTCCCTCCCCTCCGCCCCCGGCCGGGCAGGAACAAGACGAGAAGAGAAAGAAAAAAAAGACTCGAGGCTGACTTGAAGCAAACCCAAGTGCTGCGTGGTCTCCACCGGCTTCATAAACGCCATCACCTACGGCGTGAACGAGGCCGCTCTGGGGTCCTGGCGCAACTCCTTCTCGCGCGGGCCGTACCACCTCCCCGACGCCGCGAACCGGCCAAACTCGATCCTCCTGCGCCCCAGGGGCTCCCAGTCGTCCGCCCGGCCGGCGGCAACCCCCGAAAGGCTGACGGCCGACTCGCACCAGGACCTTGACGGCGGCAGCGGCGGCGGCGGCGGCGGCGGCGGCGGCGTTGATGACAAGACCAATCGCCCGAGGCCCGTTTCGGAGGACAGGCAGACGGTGCAGCTTCCTAGGCCCGAGCCAGCCTGCCAGAGGCCCTTTCCCGTCCGACCCGCGGTCAGGATCACTGATATCGCACACTTGCCGGAGGAATACACTCGGTCCTAGGCCTAGGCTACTGCTGGCCGCGAAGAGGCAACTTTGATCGTTTTGTGTTGTTTATCATGGTCATGTCGTTTTGCTTGTCCGCTGGCGTTATCGGGATAGAGGATCAAATTTCTAGGTCTGGACCCGGGGTCTATATACGCGTTTGCTCATGCCTCTCGTCTATCGTGTATTCGTCTATACATGGAAGTACGTAGCTACCCAAGTAGTGCTATCCAAACGCATATCTTTGATAGTACACTTGACGTACCTGCGATGCCACGCCGTCCATCACGCGGCTAACCGCTAGCCTCACCCGCACGCTGCCATCCTTGGCTTCGATAGTACAGCTAAATAAACCCAGACACAAGCTATATGCGTATCTTGATCATCCCAGAGCCCCGGCCGTGCCGCCGGACTTTCCAGGACCATTCTGGGGCATGGTCTAAGCCTTGACGGTCCCCGCCTCTTTCCCACGGGACCGTTCCTCCCAGTTCAGCCCGATATCTCCGACCCGAGCCTGCCGACCCCCTCCACCGTGTCCCGTAGGGCGTCTTGGTCTTTGCCATGGAGGAGCTGGCCGCGGGGAGGCCTCGCACTCTGTAGTCGGAATCGGCATGGCGGCAGGCCAGTCGGTTGGTTGGTAGTCTGAAAGCTGACCTCGCAAACTTGGCGGGGAACCAGCTCTGGTGGGGGGTATTCCGGAGTTAACGATGGGCGCGACTTACGGACTTTGCGGCTGGTGAATTCATCGGCAAAACGGGACAGCCCGTTCGACGTACGTTCTTGGCCCTCGGATGGGGGCTGATCAACTATAAAACGAGTGTTGCCCAGTTAGATGCTGCGTGGTCCCGTTACTCTCGTGTATATCTTCTTTACTCAAGACCAAAAATCCCCGATTCATCCAAGCACCTCCCTCTCTCACCAACTACCATCTCTGAGAAGGTCGCCGTACTACATGTCCATGGTCGAGGGCAAGATCAGCTCCTGCTGCCTCACGGGCTTCGAGTGGGACGGCACCCCGACGGGCCGGACCGAGAAGCTGGGCGGCAGCGACGTCTACGTCGCGGGCGCCAACGCCGAGGCCGGGGTGCTGCTGGTGCACGACCTCTTCGGCTGGACCTTTGGGAACCTGAGCCTGCTGGCCGACCAGGTGGCGCGCGAGGCCGACGTGACCGTCTACATACCGGACCTGTTCGGCGGCGAGGCGCTGCCGCCGGACCTCGCCGCCGCCGGCCGCTTCCGGGACCTCGACCTGCCGGGCTTCATGGCCCGCAACGGCAGGGCGAGCCGCGAGCCCGAGCTGTTCGCCTGCGCGCGCGCCATCAGGGCCGAGAGGGGCCACTCGCGCGTCGGCATGTTTGTAAGTGAAGCGAGGTGTTGTTATTTTCCTATTTGGAAGAGAGAGAGCTTGGCTGGCCAAGGAGTCGTGTTAGTAGAAGGCTAAAGTAACTTCTAGACTTCCGATAGGGGTACTGCTATGGCGGGTGAGTGTGTCCGGACTTTGGTCCGGACCGTGGAGTGAATCTTGTCCCCCCCTTTCAGCGCGCCCCCTTTTTTCTAACCTGCGGCGCCCGCGGCCGCCGCGATATAGCTGGGCTGGCCTCCGCCTCGGGAGCAGAGGAGCACAGGGCCGCGCCGCTGGTCGACTGCATCTCGATCGGGCACCCGAGCCTGGCGACGGAGAGGGACTTTGACGAGGTCGCGGTGCCGGTGCAGATCCTCGCCCACCCCGAGCGCGACCCCGCCTTCACGCCCGAGCTGAAGCTCCACGCCTTCCGGGCCATGATCAAGAAAGGGGGTCCGGTTCGAGTACCTGCACCTCCCGGGGGGTCGAGCACGGCTGCCTGGTCCGCGGGAAGCAGGACGAGCCGGGCGAGCGCGAGGCCATGGTGGCTGGCAAGGACGCCGTCGTGGCCTGGCTGGTGGCTCACCTGCACAAGGCGGATGCGTAAGGGGTGCAAGGGGGACAAGGAGGAGGCCGAGATACTTAGAAGGAACAAGGGAGGATTGTTCTGGAAGACTAAGGAGGCTCGAGGGGGAAACTGGTGACCGTCTAGCACGAGGGAGAGACAAAGAGATATAAGAAGAAGGTCCTAGTATAAGTTTCTCTCACCATGCGGCCACGGGTCCGTCCGTGCGCACATCCTCCTAGACGCCCCTATTTGCCCGCCCAACATCAGTTCCCTCTCAGATCCGCGTTGCATGTCCTAGGGCCAACCTCGAATTTCCCCCAAGTGCTCTGCTGTGGCATCTCTGTGGCTAACCCCCAACCAGTCCCCGCCCGGGTCCTCAGGCGGTTGCGGGCAAAGAGGGAAAAATCTGTGGCAATATAAAAATCCCCCCTCCCCTCCATCTCTACACCTCGACCACATCCAATTCCTCAACCTTTACATACAACTCTCGCGAGCAACCATCAACAACACAATCGACACTGCCGCACATAACAACCATCTGCATCATCTTGATCATCCCCCTCAAACCTGCACAAACCACACAACCCTTCGGGCGGCATCAACGGCGTCTATCATCTTCAACCTCACTCACTCGTCTTTTCGCCGTCTTTGACGCACACCTCCTTCCCATCCACATTCACAGAAGCACACATCTCAACCGTCACAATGGCTGCTGCTGAGACTCCCAAGAAGGCCGGCGGCCGCGCTGCCACCTCCCCCAGAGACGATGCCAAGCTCACCGAGCGCGAGATCGAGATCCTATCCAAGGCTTGGACGTGCATGCGCAACCAGCCAGAGGTGAGTATTTCTTTTGTTATTTACTCACCATTTCTGCATTTCCCCTCCATCTGCCAATTTTCAACCCTCCATCTCGAGTCAATATCAAAACCCGCCACATCTCTGGCTCTCCCTCATCGTCGGCCACACAGCTGACCATTGGCCCAACACGCCCGCGCCAAACCGACAGATTGACATGAACAAGCTCGCCGACGCGCTCGGGATGACCAACGTCGGAAGCGCCACCAACGCCTGGGGCCGCATCAAGAAGAAGCTCTTCAGCGGCATCCCGGCCGCCGCCGGCGGCGGCAGCGGCTCCGTCACCGCCACGGCGACCCGGAAGCGCAAGTCGCCCGCCAAGGCGACGGCCGCCGACGACGGCCGGGACGACGAGGACGAAGCCGCCGCCGCTGGCGAGACCCCGGCCAAGAAGCGCAAGGCCGGCCGGCCCCGCAAGAACCTCCCCCACGCCAAGGTCAAGAGCGACGCCGGCGCCAGCGAGGAGGCCGATGCCGCCGCCGCCGCCGCCGCCCGCCCCGGTCGCGAGGATGACGACCAAGTCAAGGACGAACCAAAGCCCGAGGAGGATGAGGAGGACCCGAAGAAGCCCGCCAAGGGCTCGGTTGCCGGCTTCAAGGCCGCCAACCGCGAGGTCGACATGTCCGGCTCGGCCTAAGGGCCACCACACACCACACACACGACGCCAGCAATCTTGGCCTCACTTGCAGCCCCCCCTCATAAGCAGCATGACCTTCGTTTCCAAGATTCTACCCACCCATTTTATCATCTATACCCCCCCTCGCATCTTTCGGCGACCAAGCCCCAATCACTCCAACTTTTCTCACCCGCCATTTTCTTTCCAACATCCGTGTTGCGGTGGGCATCATCACCTGCCTTCGGATTTTGTTGTTGCTTGGCGATGGCTATTGTCGTTTTCCACGGGGCTCCTCCAAGTTTATTCTCTCTTCTGCGTTTTTGCCATGATTTCCCTCGGAATCACCACGTTCTATCAAGGAGGGTAACTTGGGCTGGGCCTCTGGGATTAAAGGCTGTTTGGGCGGATTTGCCCCCCTGGGACACACATTTCACGGAGCGGCGTGTCCGTGGGGCTGTCCAGCACTACCACTAATCACATTCAGCCCTTGTTTGGTCCTTCTCTTATGTTTTATTCTTATGGTACTGCTGCTTGGGGTGGAAGGCGGAGGAATCACAGAAAAGAATCTCTAGACTACCATCGTACCTAGGTAGATCCCAAAACAAAAACACACGCCTTCGTCTACTTCTAAAATGTGCTCTTGAAATGCACAAACCGCTGAGCCATTCATCGAACACAGCTAATACGTTCCTCTGTTCATGTTTCCGCCATTTGCTGAGATGGAACAAAGCCTGGGCTCTGGGCGTTTGGCTTCCATATGGAGCTCACGAGCAGCCTATTGAGAACAGCCGAAAAGGGGGGGCACTCCCACCACAAAAAGATGGCCGTATTCCATGAGGTCCCAAACATTAGGTAGAATTGTTAGTGCCATAAGCTTTCCTATTTTTGTTTTTATTTTCCCCCGTTGCTATTCCTACTGTTATTCCTGCTTTTATCCCTTCTTTTTATTTTTATTTTTTGTTTCTGTTCTTATACGTATCCCTGTTTCCGTTTCTCGAAGGAACTGCCATCTTTTCGTGGTGGGCGTGGGGGAAAAGAGGTGTGAATTTGTGAGCTTGGAAGTTGGAAGGGTCCGCAACGTTGGCTGGCTGGGGTTGTGCTCGTCCAAACCGTTTGTGTCAAGCTCGACACACCTCATTCGCACATCCCCATTTACACTCGCCAGCTTACCGATGTTTGAAGGCGCCTGATTGACCTGGCCGGCTAGGTTATCACGATGTTTATATTTTTTTTTGGCCTTATTCCCGTTGTTTCTATTTCTTTCGCTTCACGGTCGCATTGTTGCTGGGGCTCGATGCCCCAACCGAGTTACCCCACAGGCACTGTCCCATACAATCTCCACTCCGAGACATGTGGTTCATCGAATACAACAGCCGCGATGGTCTAGTGGTATGATTCTCGCTTAGGGCACACCCTGAGTTGATCGATTGGGCAACTAATCGATCCACAATTTGCGAGAGGTCCCGGGTTCAATCCCCGGTTGCGGCCTTGACTTTTGCATTTTTGCGCGCTGCTTTTTTTTTGCTCCTCCATACATACGATACATACATCATACATACATACACATAATAACTCAAACAATACATTAATAATTGACTGTCCGTCGGTGGCAAGGTTTTCTTTCTCTATTTGGCTTTTGAGAACAACGGGTGAACAAATACACAACCATAGAAGGCGACTTGCTTTGTATGAATAGCATCGTGCATGGGAACCACCCTACACTTCATTGAAGGGAACCCCGTATATTCATACCATGCGGCATGGAATGGCCATAGGGTTGACTGCGAGCTGCCCACGGCCGAGTCAACTGATACTAATATTACATTGACAAAATCGCGCTTCGTTTTATAAGAAATAAAGCCCGAAACCCCCCTTCCGAGATATAACCATTCCCCTAACCCCGTAGCCTCAAAGTATCAAGCGAGTGTGTCGTATCCAAGCCAGAGACAAAAATATCAAGTTGAAAAAAATCGGGTTACACGGCAGCTCCCGGGGCTGGGTCCCGGGAACGCAGCCGGAGGCGCCGGGGAGCTTAGGACGACTCGGTCCAAAAGGCCGAGTTGCTGTACTCGTAGGCGAAGCAGTTGGGGTTGGGCCCGTTGTTCTGCAGGTAGATCATGGAGGCGCCGTTGATGCCGATCGTGGAGCCGCTCGTCGTCTTGGCCTCGCAGGTCTGGAACCAGACGTCCTGGAAGCGGCCAAAGGGCGTCTGGTTGCCGTTAACCTTGAAGTTCTCCACGATCCACTCGGCGTCGATGCGGCAGAGCGGCGACCCGTTGCTCAGGCTGACCTGGACCGCCGTCACGGGGGCCGTCGGCGCCAGGCTCAGGTTCTCGACCAGGCTGTTTGAGGTGGCAACGACTGTTAGGGCACCGAACACAAGGCCAGTCTGGCAGCGGTTTTCCGGTTTGGGGGTGTTGAACTTACATGGTGGCCTGCGAACTCGAGGTTGCCGTGATCGTCACGCGGATCATGTCGTCGGGATGGGCTGCGAAAGAGAGAAATCAGTCAGCTATATCCCAGGCGTTTAAAGGTCCCCCCCC